CTCCTAGTATGAATCTTCGAAAGATTTGAACAATACAGACAATATCTTAACAGTTCGACGTAAAGTATTATCAGGGCACATATGAAATATGCAAGACAAAAAACAATCCACTATATTTTTGTATACAATCTCGAAGATAAGAAGCCATCAGTGCAGTAACAATTCAACTTTCTATATGTTCTCAGACAAATCATATACAATATTGATCAACAAAATGTTTTGGACGAATATGAGTGTAGGTGTGGCTTTTATGCTTCTCTTCAAACATACCTACACCCGATCGTAATACTGAATCATGTAATACATCAATATACGACCATTTACGATCGTTTATAAGTGTGCTTGTTCGACATAGTATGTCTGTAGAATTAACGATCATTATTATTAAAATATTGAATGGTTCAATCGATTATTCAATGTTGTATAAATGAAGATATGATGTAATAATTATTAAGATTAAGAGAGCAACATTGTACAATCAAACTGAACTTCATTAGGCAAAGTATAGCATATTCAAACTTAGTTTTTCTCTATAAACGTAAAAACCACTTTTTATATTATGAAAAATTTGGTTTTGTGAAACAAATGGCTGCAATATAATCAAGTCATCTCTTGTATTAATCTAAGTAGTTAATGAAAGTTTATGTCTAGACACACCCATATACATATCTCTATCCTGTCAGTCAAGGACCGAATGATATTTGTTATCAGTACATTTCAAATATAAGATTAGTATGCTTCAAGTAACTTGAGCATATATAAATATATCTTAATGGTGAAAATCTGAAAAATTTTCAACAAAATTTCTTTTTCCTCTTCGTTGCAAATTATTATCGCTTGTAACAGATTAAGATTTCCATTTATCTTCAATGCACAATGTGTACTGTTATAACAATAAAATGACGAATATAATAAGCAAATTAATATAATTTTTTTTTTCGTAAAATAATACAGTTTCAACAATTAATTTACAATTGAATAAATTGCGTCGCCAACTGAAAATGAAACATTTTTTGTTGTTTTTTCTCTTGAATAATGTCAGCTATACCACTGCACATACATCAATGATATTGCATGTGTTTTTTTCATTGCTATATATACGACATGTTTTCTATTGTTCATACTATTTCATTATTTGTTGAAACAACGAATAACTAATTAATTAACCGAATAGAATACACGGCTGATTACGGTTTATAGTTTAATAACAGCAACATCTACGATGTGTGCATCATAAAATGTGATCTAATTGTTTCTGAGTTATTAACTTATTTCTCAACTTAACTTAGGAATTTATTTATTACTAAGTACAATTTATATCATTACACAATATTAGAATGTTTCTAGTACAAAAATGTGTACAGATCAAAAATATTATTTTGTGAAATTTATTTTAGCAATTTCATCATTTAATGATACAATTGAATTACAGATCTCTATAAGAATCTATGTAGATGATAGATTAGAATTTATTCCGAATAGAATATAACTATAATTATTTCTTTGTTGTTCTTTCAAAATTAAGGAAATCAATAAAATGAACTGTTTTTTTTTTTGTAAAACAAAACAAAATCTAATAATTATCAAGGAAAAATAATATGTTGAGGACTTTTGAATGTTATTCAGTTGTGAAACAAATGTATATATGTATCATTATTCTTATTATATGAAAAACAAATTAAATTATTTGATTTTTGATTAGCAATAAGAAGAAATGTTCCAGTTGGATCAAAGGTAAAATAATGTCTAAATGAGCCACGACAATCAAGATGTTCTTTAACACTTAAAATTTCGTTATTAGTCTCATTGATATTAAGTATAACAAGACTTTCATCAACATGATTTCATACAAGTAAATATGTACTATCTGGTGTAAATTATAATTCAGTTGAAGAATTTTCTTTAGTGGAACCTAGAAATACAAAAAACTGAAATGTTCAATTTTGTTCATATTCGGTTTTTTTTTGACAATATTTAACCATTTTCGTCCTCTTGTCGTTGTATTTTTATTGTTTATAGATATTCAGATTGTTCACATAATACATGTATTCGATAAATATTGGTCGTTGAATTTAATTCATTACGTAGAAAACCTAATGATTTATTTGGATGAAAAATAATATGATGTGGCTCAGCATCTGCTTCTATTTTTATACAATTACCAACTAAATTAACTTTTCTATTTGCATCATTAAAACGATATACACTTAATGTATCAGTACTCAAGACAACAACATATTAATAACCTTCATAACAATATGAATGTCCTTGACAATCAGGATTTGAATTATTTAATGGAAAAAGAACAAGATTCGATGTATCTTGATAACCAGAACTAAAATATATGAAATCAATAATTCATATATGGTTTGTTTTTTGTTCATTTATTGATAATAATTACGTAGCTACGATAAGCTATTTTCTGTTGAGTCAATATTGAATGAACATAGTGTATTTCCTATTGATGATCTTGTATTTTTCTAATGTTAATTTACCTTGAATATGATGATCATCAATTATAAATATATCTATTTTATCAATATGTTCATTAACAACATAAAGTAAATCATTATGTGCTAAAAGTCACGATGAACCTTTTTCACATTTAATTTCATTAGGTAATTGTAATTATCCACTTGATGTAAGATTACACGCATAAATACTTTCAACACTAGTACCAATAAGGAATATTTGATAACTCATGATATTATCTAGAATGTAGAATAAAATATACGCTTCGCCTTGTTTTTAATTCTCAAGATCATGTGCATTGACTATAACGACAAAATAAAACGTTCTCAAGTATGATGTACTTTTGTAACTTACAATTAGCATATATATATAGTTGGTTCGTATAATATACATAAAAAGTGCCCGCAATATCTAAATCTCATACATTAAAAAAAAGAATGAAATAGATTGTACATTTTCAAAGGCTCTACTGATAAAGAAAATGTCGAATAAATTTCATCTTTTCTATTTGTAATTCTTGTTACGACTTCTTGTTTTACTCTTTAGTTACCAACAAAAGATAAATATACGTAAAATAGAATGATTGTATACCACACATGTTTGTATTTCTTACTGCAAGAGTTTAGAATGAACCGTAACAAAATGATGATGTAGAAAGCTCCTTTTACTTGACTTTGGCATTAACTCAAATGCATCTAATAAACGTACATTATAAGTGATTGCATTAGCTCAAAGGATAATTAAATTCATGACGCATTTATATGGATGAATTGTTCCAATTGACCTGAAAATTTCATAGAATATTCCTCTCAGCAACTTCGTACACTTCCAAAAATTTCAATAGTCTACATTATTCCCATTCCGAATTATGCTTGTTGGAGGTGAAGAAAAAGCAAAAAATGTCATCATTTCTCATAGAAGACAAAATTTTTTCAATTAAGAAAAGTTTCTTTTCGCGTTTTCTTCAATGCAGATAGATATAAAAAAGTGCAGTGAATTAATATGTGAGTTTTGTTTTCTTTAAAAAAAGCTCTCTTTAATAAATATACGATAAATACCAATTTGACAGACATTTTGTCTTTTTTTTTGTGTGCTATTATCTTAAAATAAGATTTTCTCTTGATAAAAATATGTTGACGAACTTGGAGTGGTTTTAGAATGAAGATGATGGGTAGGAACAACTTTTCTGAAAATAAACTGCAAACTATGTTAAGATCTTGAATAGGTGTGGGCAGACAAATTTTGAGAAAATCTTATATATACTCACTTTGTCTCGTCATATTTTGAATTTTGTGACTTGAATATCTCTTAATTGAGATGACTGTTTTGTATGAAATTTTTACTTTTTTTCTTTTCTTTCTGTTTCTTACTTGTAGTGAACACAAATCGATCATGATCTTATTATACATTATTCGATTCACCATAGGTAGGCGCATCTAATGATACAAAAGTAACAAAATATTTTGGTCGAATACTGTGATAAGGTATATAGCTATAGAACTATTCATTTTTATGGTATTGCAAAAGCGACTGTATTTTTGAGTAAAGTATATGGAAAACAAGTTTTTCTTTATGTGAACACATTGTTTTTTTCGATTTTTTTTCTTTTTGAATTGTACAAACGAAATGCAATTCATCCATATATAATCAAAGAGTTAATATTAATCTTAATAATAAATATCCGTCTTTTGTTTCTTGTATCTGTCGACTTAATACATGAAACGTTAACTATTATCGTTAAGATAAATCTATACACAATAATATTCAATAGCATAAAAATAATTTCGATGACTTGAAACTAAAGATGAAAAATACATTGAAGAAAATATGAAAGAAAAAGAAGAAATAATTTTCTCGAGATTGAGAATAGACTAATACTATTCTGCACATTTCTGCTAGAAATTATGTATATATTCTTATAAATATTTCAATCTGTATTTGTTTCATGTTCTTCAAGACCAAAAAACAACTTCTGATATTCTCACATTTTTGTTTTTTTCTTTTCAGTAAATAAACATACAATAAAATTCAATTCTTTTTATTGATATCCTTCTTTCCAAAGGTCTACGATTGATTTCATTTCAAAACTAGTTTTTCTATTAAGATTCAATATCTCTTTCTTTTATTCTAATTAAAACGTTAAATAGTATTCTTAATAAATTGCATTCAATAAAATAAAATAAAATACAATGACTTTCTTAATGTATCAAAATTAAAACCTTTATTCTTATTATTACATAAACCAATAACATAAAAATTTGAAACAAGAAAACAATATTTTACGTCAATTAGATATTTTTGTATATATGAGTGAATTGTAAAATTATTGTACCGTTGTATTCCCTAGATGTAAAAGTTTAATAACTCCAGTTCCTCTCAAGTTATCTTTATGAATTTTTCAGGTTAGACGTCTCTAGTTAGTGCTCACTATCACACAAAAAATCACAAATTTATCTCGCACGGAGTCTGAGATATTGGATGCTCAAGGTTCAAAAGTTCGATT